TCTTTTATGTTATCTTCTGTTATTTTGGAGAAGGTATATTGCTAAATTATCCATTTTACATGGTTTCCAAAACAACCATGGTATTTGCAATTATATAGTGCCATAAAGTTGAGGAAAGCATGTCTTCTCTTTTAGCTTATACTAGTGACTCTTGCTTGCATGTTGTCTGATATTACTTACATCCATTCTGTACTTTCTTTTGTTTTTCTTCTTAACCTCTCACTTGTGATTGATGTTTTTCCTCTTGTATCATAGCTAAGATTCATTGTGTCTCATATTAAGAGATCACTCTACCTCTGCTTTTCCATTTTAAAACTAAACACCGTGAATGTGCTGTATATAGTCTGTCTGAAGTGCCTCTTCAGTTTCACCCTAGAGCTTCTCCAGCTGATTTTTGCCCTTGTTCTTTTCAAAATCTCATAAACAGCATGATGTTGTAACATGGATTTCTGTGATGGTGCTGTAATAGTTTCACTTATAGTGTTATTGTGTCCTAATTTAGACTAACTTTTTTTCATTTGTGTCATTACTATATGTTCAGTATTACTGTATGTTTGGGTTCATTTACGCAGGTCTCTGTAATACACTGGTTTTTAGGGTGTGAGCATTTAGTTAAACATTTAATGTGGGAGATGTTTTTTGTTTGATGCCCGGTGCATATAATCGGCTACTGTTTCATTTTAATGGATGGATCTACCTTAGTGTTAGTTCCTCGCAGGCATATACTTTTGAAGGAAATCTCCAGGATGTCCCCACTTTCTGTGCTTTACTTGATATCGTAGAAAAGTCTATGAGAGCATTAACTAAATGCCTTTTGGATTATGGAACTGGAAATTATTTTGGAACTGGAAAATGTGTCCCAGATATTACTTGATATTCAGTACACAGGAGCAGTCTAAACCTAGTTTAAAATAAATCCTGCACACAAAATGTTAGGTTTGGTCATTTGTGTCAACTGTTTGACTCTGCAGTTTTTTCCCAGTTGCACTATGATTCTGGCTAATATACAATACAGTAGATAGCATGGGTTAATTATTTAGTTTTACTAGGTTTTGTTGGAATTGCTCAGCTTTCTTTGGTCTGACTGAACTTAATTTTGCTATCACACGCACCTAATGTACGTCAGTAATTTACCTCACCCCACCATTATCAGGCTGTTAAATATTTTTCTGTCACATGTGGCCAGGCTTCAGAGTCACATTTTTTGGTTCTCCTGCAAGTCCTAGCTTTGGTCTGGCATTTTTAGGTTACTTGATGACTTAAGCCCATTTGTTGGTCTAATGAAGTTTTCTGGTTTAAGTAACTCTTCAAACATCCAGTAAAAAGTGTTTTCTGGTAAAATCGGTTACATCAGTATAGGAAATTGTTAGGGTGGCTGAGAAATATGGGATGCTTTATTTTTTGTAATTCAGCTAAGTTACTCTTCCTTCCTGACTGATAAATAATGCTCTTGTGTTATATAGACTAAATTTATTACGGTGTACTGATTTCAGGTACTTTTAATCTTTTTTTATTTCTTTTTAAGTACCGTAACCTGTAACAGTGCATGTTCCCTGTCAGAGAAAGGACAGCTCTAAGGCATTGGAAAGAGATTCTCAAAATACAGTCAGTGCAACAGTTCTAGCAGAGCACAGTCTTGTGTTGCTGGCAGTTACCTTTCCTGGGTTTTTGTTTTTTTTTTTTTTTTAAACTACCAAATTTCATAAAATGTATAAGGAATGATTTTAAATATTTTCCTTTTTCTTTTTATCTTGTAAACGTAAATACTTTTTTATATCTTTTCTTGGAGATTAAACAATTTCCTGGGTAAATCTCATGTCTTACTGACATTCTAGCCTAGAGAAGAGGAGGCTGAGGGGAGACCTTATTGCTCTCTACAACTACCTGAAAGGAGGTTGTAGTGAGGTGGGTGTTGGTCTCTTCTCCCATGTAGTTAGCAATAGGACAAGAGGAAATGGGCTCAAGCTGCGCCAGGGGAGGTTTAGGTTGGAAATTAGGAAAAATTTCTTTATGGAAAGGGTTGTCAAGCATTGGAACAGTCTGCCCAGAGAAGTGGTGGAGTCCCCATCCCTGGAAGTGTTCAAAAAACGGGTAGATGTGGCACTTCAGGACATGATTTAGTCTAGTCTACCCTTGATTGGTTTAGTGTGGACTTGGTAGTGTAGGTTAATGGTTGGACTGGATGAGCTTGAAGGTCTTTTCCAACCTAAACGATTCTATGATTGTATGATTCATGTAAGGTATAACCACTCACTTACGTACAGTCAAGATTTCACTCCTCTTTTCTGTGAAGCTTGCTAGTTCTGACATAAATAATTTATAATATTTGTGTCTTTCGTTTGTATTTTCTATTCAATGTCCCATCTCTAGTCCTCTGATCTCCATTTTACGTCTTGTCTCTCTACACCTGACTTTCTGTATCTTTATTAATGGTAGACCTGTTTCACCGTGTTGTGCAATTCTGTATGTTCTGGAATGTGCTTACTGCAGTGTGATTAAATGTGTTGCCTCTTCTAAAACAGGGTCAGAAATGAGCAGAAAACCCCCAAATAATCCCATATAAACATTAAGCATGTATTTAATGCACAAAACAGTGCATGGACATAAATGAAAAGATAGGGAGCGAAATGAAAATTTGGAAGGTGTTCCAGTTATCTGTGGACAGTAGATAAAACTATTTTTTTTGTACAGATAATTTTCATGTTGAAATTTCCTAATGATAAATACCTAAAAAAAAAAAAAAAATCTGAGTCCTATAAACTAATACATTGGTGGTGTTTAAAAAACTATATAAACCTCAGTGTCAACAGATGAATGGTGTGAATGTGTTTTTTGCACATAGCTTTTAGCTGGTTTTATACTTGAAATATATGTGTTTTGTTATTGCTGTTTTCAAAGCAGGAAAGGTTGGAAAAGTTTATGCAAGTAAAAAGACATGCTATTTGTCTTGTCCTGACAAATGCTGACTACCAAAAATACCCATTAGCTACATTAGGGGATGTGGCTGCCAGCTAGAAAAAAGCATCATATTTTTGATGTTCTCCATTCATCTTACTAGGATGTTACCTTTCAGATACTATAATTATGACCACTTAAGTGCTGCTAGTCATAAAACCAGCAAATTGTCATACCAGTATGATCTAGCTAATGAGCTTATATAGTTATAGCTGGAAGTAACTGTGTCTTGATGTTCCATTCGTTTGGAAGGACATTATCTAAAAATGCATGTTTTTGATAAATGAACTGTTTATTTTCCTGTGAGATACTTACTGATTTCCATAAGAAATTGGCTAATCTTGAACTTGCATTTCTAGATAAGATGTAAGCTGTCTTAAATATATAACAAAGATTCAATAGGCACAGAAATTTCAATGTAAAAGGTTAAATTTTGAGACTCAGTGATTCAAAATATCAATCTATCTGGACTTTGAATTAATTTTGCATGAGAGACGTGATCTCTGATCTACTTTGGTAATAGTCAAGAAGTAATTTACTTTGTCCTAAGTGGATTTTGAGAGCAAGTGGGAGTAGGAAATGATGGGAAGAAGGAAAGGAAGGGAGATTATTGTTTCCAAATTTCTCACAAATTGTTGGGTAGACTGTTTCCAAATCTAAAAGTTGTGATTGTTTTTCAAAGACTTTAACTTCTGAATGATATAAGCAGACAAAAGGGAGAAAGAAGTGTATCATTTAAGTAAAGCTGACAAGACAAAGAGTCAGATGAAGAGTAAAATAATGTTCTTACAAGTAAAATGACTTGTGTCAGTTCTTTGTACTTATAAATATTATTGATAGATTTGGAAATTCTGATTTTCATATTTAATTAGTTTCTTTTGAATGAAATGGCAGAAATGGATTTTCCAAAGAAAACTGTGAGCTGCAGAAATACATGCCTTCTACAGATTATTTTATGGTAGGCTAAATAGTCAGAGGGAGTATTTTTTATTTTAAGAAAAAAGGACAATCAAAGGAATGAAAGACTGAAATGTAGAGAGAGGAGAGGAATGTATGCTTAGGTAGTAAAGCTGTAGTCATGTATTTTCTTCAGAATCTGTACTGTTGTGTATTCAACTACAGGTTTATTTTTTTAACTTTTTTATATTTTTTAAATATAAAACTGATATTGTTTTAAACTGTTTTCAGATGTTTATATTGAAAAAGGTAAAAATGAAGTGGTGGGGTGGTTATTAAGTTCTCTTATTCTTGCAAAATAAGTTCTCTTTGTCAGATGGCATGTACTGCTGGTTATTACTTAGGTGTAGTTCTAGAAATTCTTTGTGTTTGTGGAATCTCTTCTAAAGCAATTGCAGAATATATACAATATTCTGGTTTCAGCAAGAGTAGTAGAGCAACAGCCAGGTATAAGAACTTCTAATATCATCTCGGGGTTTTATAGTTAATGTCAAAAAAATTCCCACAGAATAATTATTTAAACAACCATTTTATACTTCATACAAAATGCAGTCAGTGTTAGTGTATTGCTATCCAAGCTATATTAAAAATGTTAGTTTTAAAAGATCAAACTACTCTATAAAAGGCAAGGATGGTATTTGGTATTCTCGCTCCTTTACTTTCATTCCCAGGACAGATGTTTCTTTTTTTTTGCCTATTCTCGATAAAGGATTTTTTTTTTTCCTTTTGTATTTTCTGTATTTTATATAAACTGTTCAAGAAGTAAAGTAAATCCTGATTATTAGGTGTCCATTTCTATTCATAAATGCCATAAAACCCCAACTGAAACTGATAGTATTCTGATGTAAGTTGTGTTTTTCTGGAAAAACATCTTTCAAACTTAGTTTTAGTGATTGTTACAATCACTATTTTCAAATATATAGAGCAAGGCAGGAGAACAAGAAGTGTGAAAGAACTGTCAAAATGTAAAAAAGAGAGGATTATCTGTGTGGACAGGTTACTTAAATTATACTTTCCTCCTGTATTTATATGGCTATCTGCATTCAAGTTATTTTTGATCCTGTTATTTCTCCTCTCCCCTCTCATAGCTTTATAATGAAATGACTTTATGTTTTGAAACTGTTAAAACAAGTGAAATTCAACTGCAGCGAAGCTGTGCCTCTCTTCAGGATCAGTTAGTTGGAAAAGATCAGAAGATTTGTCAGTTACAAGAGCAACTTCAGCAGGCTCGTGATGCTTTAAATGCAGTACATTGGAATTCTTCTCCAAAATGTGAAGTTCAGGTGAGTCCACTTCTAGAATAATAAAAATTGTCTTGTTTTAAATTAAGCTTCTGTACCAGACAGTTTGAAAGGAAATTGCAGGGTTTTTTTTTTTTAGGACAAGCTGTGCAACTATGCTGCTGCGATAGTGCAACTATTTCTGCTGTTGTTAATAGAAGGTACTTCACAATTAAATCTGTCCTGGGAAAAAACCCGAGAAACAGTGTCAGTATTCAACAAGACTCTTATTTATATTCTCTAACAAAGACACCAAATATAAATATAAAACCAAAATTATTTTGTTCCTGGAAATAAATTCCTAGAAAAACTTGTGAAGCTTCTGCATTTCCTCTGTGAAAATAAAATGTATCGGTCGTGATTTGTTCAATTGTTCCTGACCATGCAACTAAACTTTAGATCATAGATCTAAATAAAGTATTATGGTGGGGAGAAATATTTGTCTAAAAATTTCTAAGCTTTAATGTGCCATTTGGGACTATTATAATAAATCTGTCACTATCACTAACAGGCCTCCAACTTTACAACTGTGCCATATCTTACACTTACACCCCTGACATTTTCCAAAGGCCAACTTATGTCTTAAAGTGAGTTTGAAAGGCTTTGAAATTATCTACCCAAAATGGTTTTGTAAACACTGTTGCTTAGTTTCTTCCATAGATTTGTCAATGAGATGTGCTTATGTATTTCTTTTTTACTAGCACTCTTTTCCTTCATTAAGTGGAGAAGGGAAAATAGTTAAGATGATAATGATCGTTAAATGTAAAACTTCACTTAGCGTGGGTAAGTAAGGTAGATCTGAGTTCAAGGATTATATTCATGAGCCCAAAGGACCTTGAATATTAAAAAAACCCAAAACCCATAGTGTTTAATTCCTCAAAATTTGTGTAAGTAGTAGTCTGCTGTAAAATAGAAAAATCAGAGAACACAGTATCTCCTGGATGTGTTCATGATGATCATTCCAGAGTTAATGTTCTAACTTTATCCAGAGTATTGCTTAAGTGTTTATTGTAAGATCCTTAACCCATATTTTGTATGATTTTTAAAGTTCCTCTTAATCTAATGCTTTGATAATTTTGTTTCACAAATGACAAAACACATTATTTTAAGTCCTTCTTCTGGAGTGTTTACCGCTTGATACATTCTTGACTTTTTTCTGAATCTTAGGAATAATTGGGGGTTTTTTTTCTCTTTTAGAAGGTTTTGGTGGATTTTTTGAAATGTTGTAAATATAAAATTAGCCTCAAGCTGTTTCTGCTCTAAACACAGCTTTGGATCATGGTTTTTGAATGCTCAGACTGTATTTCTGAATACATCATTCTGCTTTCATCATCTTGTATTGCTCTGAAGAGTTTTTTGCAGTTTATTTTGTCAGACTATTTAATTTTTTTTATCATAAAAGCTTTTATTATATCTCTGCATTGTATATCCTGAGAAAACTAAGCATTTATTGCTATTACTTATTTCTCATAATTAAAGCAATTCTTAACTGTAAGATTTTTTTCACCCCTTAAAATACAGGAGATGGGTTTCTTTAAGACCTCCTAGTGTGAAGCTTTGCTGAAATCTATTTCAAATCCAAATAGACAATTTCACTCGTATCAACTTTGTTTACTTCTTAAAAGAACTTCAGGAAATTTCTCAGGTTAAAAGTAGGACTATTTTAGAAGTTAGTAACAATCTACAACTGGTGATTCAACTTTATACTTGATTTCCTTTGGATGTTTTAAATGAATCACATCCAGTGTAGGTGAATTGTTACTATTTATTTTCTTGATTTATTCACTTTCTCCTTCTAGTGGCATCTGAACTTGAAGTACGTTAACCAGTATGCTGCATATAAATTAGAATCCAAATGTAAAGCAGTCCTAAATTACTTAACGGTGAACATGGGTGCAAATAATTATTTTCCTGTGGCCTTCTGTTGGCTTTCTGCTATGTTTCCATTTTGATCCTATCTCAGCCTTTTAGACTCTCTGGCACTCTCTGTGTTCCCAGTGTATTTGAAGGAGTGTACTTGCCATGATTATTCAGAGAATTTGCTGTTTTGTTAGTGCATGTAGGTTCAGTCTGACCTTCTGCAGAAATATATCAGTTGAACATTTATATGATCTGTCACGAGCTCAGTCAGATATTTACCAATGCTAGTGGAGAAGACATGGCAGGAAGCAAAAGCAGACAACTTATGATAATGAATTTAATATAGTAAGCTAAATGCAGTGTAAGAACCTTCTTCTTTCAGTAAATTGATCTTAAACCAGGCTGTGATGGGACAAATGATTAGTGTTACTGCTTTAGCAACACTAATCATAGGGAAGGAAACGTGTATAGGTAGTGTCCATAGTTGCTAGGTTTGTAGGATAACAAAGATGTTAACAGTACATGCTTATGTGCCTAACATGCTTAGTATTTCTCTTGACTAACATGCTTACATTCTGCTATAGCAAATATCCCAAATTTTGTTGACATGCAATCTTGCTCTGGTTGAAAGGCCAGAGTATGCCTTTTGGGAATCTATCATAATGCTCATTGTTGGCTGCATTTTGATGACAGCCAAATTTCCCGTTGCCAACTTTACTGTCTTGCATAAGTATTAGAAAGGTAATGATTATTGTGTAGTTACACGGCTGAGGTTTCTGCAGGGGATAAAAGTGATTGCCTATCATTACTTCTGTGACCTTTTAGATAACCAGAATCCTGGTCATTTGTGAAGTTCTGAAGTTAAACATTAAGAGAACCTCCTAGCTCATTCTGCTGTCTTTTGACTGCAACATCAGTAGAACAGGATGGATTTGGAGTAGCAGCTTAATTAATAGGACACCAAAGCAGTGTAGGCATCTACTAGTTTTTCTGTTACCGTTTTTTTTAAAACAATCCTTCCTAAAAGAAGAAGTTGGTTTAAATGACAATATTTCTGCTGTAAAGTGCAGATTTCTTGAGTATGTTCAGATTAGTGCCTTGCTGAAAGTTCATCCTGTGGGACATGCAAACAGTCTGTCGACAGCACTAATACATCTTCTTCAGACTTTAACTAGCCAGGAAGATTATACATCAGTGTTGCGTATGTTAGCACATACTTTTTCCTGGATTTGAACTTTTCTTGCTGTTGAAATTACATTGTAGTCAGGCAAAAATTAGTTTTATATTACTGGCTTTATTAGCAAGAATATCTCGTTTTTCTTTCATTTGGGGTAAAATAATCGTAGAATTGTAGAATCATTGAATTGTTTAGGTTGGAAAAGACCTTTAAGATCATCCAGTCCAACCATTAATCTAACATTACCAAGTCCACCACTAAACCAGTTAAGGGTAAAGTAGCAATTTCATATTTGCTGGCTTGGTGGCTGGATTATTTATAATGAAAGTAAAAACTAGGAATCATTAAGGTTGGAAAGGACCTTTAAGGTCATCAATCCAACCATCAACCCAACACCACCATGCACACTAAACCATGTCCCAAAGTGCCACGTCTACCTATTTTTTGAACTCTTCCAGGGATGGTGACTCTACCACCTTCTGGGCAGCCGTTTTTAATGTTGTAATCTTATTCTAGTCAGTGTGGCACTTGTGTTGGTGAGGGCAAACTTTTGGTTGACTTTATTTTGACTATTCTGGAAATGTGTGTGATGAAGAATTTGTATCTGCTTTACAGTAAATTTCTATTTACATCTTAGTTTGTGTGGATTCAGCATTTCTCACATACCTTTTCTCTGATCAGGGAGATTAGGTATCTTCAAATTTGGAAGGCTTTTTACTTAGATCTATGCCTATGCTACACAGTAAAAAAGAAAAAAACCATTTTCAATACTTTTCAAAACATAAGCCTGTGGGATTTGATTAATTTCATGTCATGTAATTGTTGTTTTGTGTTGTGGTTTAGCCCCAGGCAGCAACTAAGCACCACGCAGCCGCTTGCTCACTCCCCCTACCCTGATGGGATGGGGGAGAGAATTGGAGGAGTAAGAGTGAGAAACACTCCTGGGTTGAGATAAGAACAGTTTAATAATTGAAATAAAGTAAAATGGTAATGATAATAATAACAATAGGATAATGATAATAATAATAATAATAATATACAAAGCAAGTGATGCACAATGCAATTGCTCACCACCCGTTGACCGATACCCAGCCAACCCCCCCCAGTTTATATACTGAGCACGACGTCATATGGTATGGAATAGCCCTTTGGTCAGTTTGGATCAACTATTCTGGCTGTGCCCCCTCCCAGTTTCTTGTGTACCTGGCAGAGCATGGGAAGCTGAAACGTCCTTGACTAGCATAAGCAGTACTCAGCAACAACTAAAACATCAGCATGTTATCAACATTCTTGTCGTCCTAAATCCAAAACACAGCACTATACCTGCTACTAGGAAGAAAATTAACTCTATCCCAGCCGAAACCAGGACATTTTGGTTCTGTTTCATTACTGGTGTTCATTTTTAGCTCTGAGATGTGCACCATACATTTAGTCATACAGTTAGTATACCATAACTGTTACCCATGTGTGTGGTAAATATTTAAATATGTTTACTGAACCAAGGCAGTCATTTCTGTCTTGACTCCTACTTTTCACAGGGGTGCAGACATCAAAGACAGTATTAAGAGATGATAGTTGATCAAAGGACAGAAATTAATAGATATTTGAGTTTTTTTATTTGTAACTGTAGCATCTGACAGGTATGTGCATTCTACCTAATACAGAATTCACTTGCACTGTTATAATAGTATCTTAATTTCTCATTATGAAGTTTTTAAAAGCAATCAGAATAGAAAGTACCAGTAAAACAATGAAAGAAATTGCAGACAGATGTAACTTAAGCTTATTAGAAAAAAAAATGCTGATTTGTAACTGGAATAAAAATTTGAGTTTAGAACTATTTATATGAGAAATACATAAATAAAATGTTTCAAGAAAAACTGCATCCATTGTTGCCGTGCAAAAATCCTTCAAGTCTTATTATGGGAGTGTGGCTTACTGGTTTTCTAACATCAATATTTCAGTGATTTCAGTTTCTTAAGAAGGCTTATATAGTACAGCCTTTAAAATACTGATTTTGATTGAAATTTAAATGGTAAAAAAATTAGTTGGGGAGGGTAACTGTCATTTATTATAGTGGTTTTAGATTTTGTCCAGTATACTTAGTATTGCAGTATGAATATTTAAAGTCCACTTTTGAGGCTTAATTTTCTATTTCTTTTTAATGATACAGTGTAACAAGAGACAGATATCCTGTTCAAAGTATGGTGCTGTAAATTTTGTTTTATAGATTGGAATCATTTCAGTTACTGAAACCAATTCCTGGTAAAATGCTTTTTATATTGCACTTATTTAGGCTTTACTGTTAGAAAACTTACCCATTTAATTTATTTGCGTTAAGAGTTTCTTGGTCTTGCACCCCCTATGGGTCAAAGCTTGCCACAAATATCTTCCAGTTTTTAGAAATACTAAGTTTATTAAAAAAAATTGAAATTTATCACAAAGATCTTAAAATACAATTTTTAAGCAACTAATAAACACTGTAGTAAAAAGGTATTTTTATAGAACAAGATGACATGAAATCATAGTGAACATTTAGAACTACGCAATACTGTAGCACATTGTTTGAGGAAGGCAAAATACTTTATCACTGTTTGCTTGAAGGCTTGGGCTTTGGAGAAAGTAGAATGGAACTGAAATTGACCAGTTTAGGCAACACAACTTACTGAGTAAATAATTAGTCTTTAATGATGGAAAATTTCAATAACATTTTTCAAATGGTTGTATTCCCTGAAGCTGCAAACTATCTGTTATTTGGAGATTATTACCCTTATAATAAAGACAGGTATAGGCTGTAGCTTGTAAAGTTAAATTTTCTCCATATTTAAATATTTTTGTAGTAGAAAAGTACCGTTATTTTCTGATGTTTGCAATACATAGATGAGTATAATTTAAAATTTAAGACACATGTGATCTTCAATATTAATGATGTCATTTTAATCTTAGTTATATTTTTTTATAGCAAATTTTTATATGGTAGCTTACTGCTAAACACTTTTTTAAAAACTGGTATAAGCATGTCTCTCATTCTCGGTGAAGGACCAGTAGTAATTTGTTAGTTTCCAAACATTTTTTTTTTACACCAATGTGTTATGAAACTACACTTAAAATGTCTTGTATACATGTCTTTTAAACAAGGTGGAAAGGAGAAAATACAGGTCTTTGTGGAAGTAGTCGTATTATTAGAATGTCTTTGTATTTGAACTGCACAATTCTGGGATAATATAGACACATACAAAAGAGTTTGTACTCTGTGGTTCACGCTATACCCTTGTCCTCAGAAAAGCTGTGTGGAGTTATAACTGCCTGATAGAGTCTGTGAAGTCATTGTTGCTATTGGGATCACAGTATACTAGCACTTGATCACCATAAAATGCAATTTCAGTTACAGTTGGGTGTGTTTTACTATGACAGTTTGGGACTCCACCTGCAATGTTGTAGCTGTGCCAGAATGCAGACATGTGCTGTCTATAAAACAAGGAATAGTGGCTTTGTGCAGCTTTTGAAATTATTTTCTAAAAAAAGAAAGAAATGCAGTATACTTTAGGAAGGTACTGCATAACTTTTGAGAACTGATCTGCATCCTGTTCTAGAGTGTTAAAAGGACAGAAAGGAAAAACTGGATCCAGTTCTGAAGAACAGTTTAATTTTCATTTATTTAGTTTGACATTCCATTTGTCTATTTTCAATGTACAATAATCTGAAAGGACCAAGATACTGAAAATGTGGGGTTTATAATGGAAAGAGCAACTCAACTTTAACTACTCTGTAGCGGCACTATTCATGCCGCTATAATAAAACTTAAG